GTTGATAACACACTATTTTATATGGTATCACGAATAGAAATACACCCCAAATTATGCTTCACTTATTTATTATTTGTTATACTTTTTTTTTTTTTTTTTTAATCTTTACATATATTTGAACATTCAAAATTATGGTATCACGAATAAAAATACACCCAAAATTATGCTTCACTTATTTATTATTTGTTATACTTTTTTTTTTTTTTTTATCTTTACATATATTTGAACATTCAAAATTATGGTATCACGAATAAAAATACACCCAAAATTATGCTTCACTTATTTTATTATTTTGTTATATATATATATATATATATATTTTTTATCTTTATATATATTTGAACATTCACAACGAACGAACTTAACTCCATTCAATATTTGAAAATATAACAAATGATTCAATGAACAACTTCGCATGAACTAGTTTTACACTACAAAAATCCACTATGAACTACGCTAGAGATCTCTTATATGATTATCTCTAGTTATCCGCATAATTTGCATTTTCGGAAACTCAGCCAAAAAAAATTATATCTTTGTTCAACAACTCAGCCAAACAAAATTAATTAATTTTTGTCGATCTTTTTTTTTTTGGGTCAAATTTCAACCACATGTTGAAATGGACTCCATAACGGTGGACCTTATGCATATTCTAGAAGGCCCATGTCCATGTTCTTGAAGATTCTCCTTATGACGGCCTATATTGTACTTAGTGGGCTTTTGGGCTTTAGGGTTTACTAGCCCAATGGGGATTTGTCTCCCCTCATCATGTATATATATGTATCGAAATCTCATTCATTAATCAATAGAACAACACAGTTTACAACAATTATCTCTAGTTATCCGCATAATTTGCATTTTCGGAAACTCAGCCAAAAAAAATTATATCTTTGTTCAACAACTCAGCCAAACAAAATTAATTAATTTTTGTCGATCTTTTTTTTTTTGGGTCAAATTTCAATTTGAATTTTTGTTAATCATTTAGTTGAATCCTTGAGCAAACTTAAGGAGAAAAATTAAAAAATTAATTTAGAGGAGAAACAAATCAATAGTTGAGCGCACTTAGGAGAAGAAGAAGTGAGAGAATGGATTAGATATGTATCCACCTCTGCATCTCCATTTCTCCATCATCAACATCATCATCATTAATTCATCAACATCATCATCAGCTACCTTTTTAATTTGTCCGTTTCACAACTGAGCAATCTCTCTCTTCCATGTGACACACTTTGCTTGGCTTCTTCTTTCCCTTTGTTGTTCCAATCTCCGTACGTCAAGGTTTCTTCTGGAAAAGTCTCTCTTCCTCTTTGTCTTTTCGTTTTCCGTCTAAAGAAAGATTCAACTCTCTCCTCCGATTTTCTTCTTCCCCTCTCTACTCTGCTTCTCTGATTGTGATATCTCTTGTGGGTTGTTCTTCTTTCTCTGTTTTTTTTTCCATTTTATGCTTCTGTCTCTGTACTTCTTGAATTTCATCATCTGGGTTTCATTGTTTTCACCCAAAGCTTGTGACTTTGATACTATATTCAGTTTTCTTGTAGACCAAGCATTATGCTTTGTGTCTGGTCCTGAATCTTTGCTTTTGCCATCAATGAAATGCTCATCTTCCTCTTTTTTCTACTGTTTATGAGAAAATTCTGAATCTTTGTTAGTTTTTCCAATGTTTCTCAGGCTGCTTTTGTGCTCTGTCTTCAAATTTCGAACACTTGCCTGATTCCAAACATCATGGAAGCTAATTCAGCTGATCAGAAACAAAAACCTAACTTTCTTGTTGAGGTAAAGCTTGTTGCTTTTGCTTAAAGAATCTTACTGTTTTTGTATATGAACACACAAATTGAATCATTTTATTATTCTCAGGTTAACAACATTGAGAAACAGCTATGGACATTAATCCATTCAAAGGGTATATTGCATCCCGATGTTTCTGAACTATACGTGAAAGCTGGTTCGACATACGAGCAAATCTTTAAAAGCAATCTTCAACACGAAGAGCTTCAAGAAGTAGAGTTCTGTCTCTGGAAACTCCACTATAAACACATCGATGAGTTTCGTAAAGGCCTTAAAACAGATGATCCTATCAAGCATATGAAAGCATTCAAGTTGTTTCTTTCAAAAGCGGCCGAGTTTTACCAGACTCTGATTTCCAAAGTCAGAGGATATTACCACAGACTCTCCGAGGAATCTGGAGAGCAAAAAAGCAGATTCTTATGCCATCGTTTCTACATTTGTCTTGGAGATCTTCAAAGGTATCAAGAACAATATCTGAAAACACATGAGCATCCTAATTGGTCAACTGCAGCTACTTACTATCTTGAAGCTGCAAAATCTTGGCCTGATAGTGGAAATCCTCATAACCAGGTAACTAATTCTTCTTCCTTTACTTTTTTTGTCACTTCCCATTTCTGAGTGATTTTCTTACATTTGTGTAGCTGGCTGTATTGGCGACATATGTTGGTGATGAGTTCTTGGCTCTGTACCATTGTGTAAGAAGCTTAGCTGTGAAAGAACCTTTTCCTGGTGCTTCGAACAATCTTGTTTTGTTGTTTGAGAAGGTGACTGATCCACTGATACTTCTCTATTATCTGCAATTAGATTGTGTTTGCCTTACATTGCTTAAAATGCTTGTTTTAACTACTGCAGAACAGGTCTTCTCCTTTGAAATCTCTGTCTACTGATGCACAGTTTAACTACTTAAACCCATCGGAGAGAAATGTTTCTCTGAAGAACTGTGATTTGTCAAAAGCAAAAGGAGAACAAGCTGCCGGAATTGATTTATGGCCCCTGGTTGTTCGAACAACTAGCTTCTTTTTCCTTAAATCCAGGTCAGTTTGGACCTTGAGTAAGATTTGACTGAAGTACAACATTATCTCCTCTTTTAGCTCAAGTTCTTGATGAGCCTTTCTCCAAAACTGTTCTTCTCTTCACTTCTTCTGGTTTGTTTCAGTTTTGATGAGCTTGGTTGTGCATTTGCATCAACTATAAGAGAACTGGATGCAGCATTTGCAGCGGATGATAAAAATCTAGAAGCCATGTTGGAGTCTTATCAATTTATGGACACAGCGAGAAAGGGACCGTATAAAATGCTCCAACTTGTTGCGGTTTTCATCTTCATCTTCCATAATTTAACCGAGGTTAATGGATCAGACAACGTGAAGGAGGCAGTTAAGCTTACAAATTCAGCATTTACTATGGTGTTCATCGTCATGGGACGAGTTGTTGAGAGATGTTTGCAGACGAGTCCCTTGGATTCTTGCCCTCTCTTACCTGCTCTACTTGTATTTCTAGACTACTTACCGCTTCTGCTTGACAAGGTAGAAGAAGAAGAAGAATGCAGGTTTGATGAGAAGAGCGAGACTGCAATATCTTACTTCTTTGGCAAACTCGTTGATTTCTTGAACCAGTTAAAGGTGAAAGGCAAAAACTGCTCTGCTAAAATGTTGGTACCTATCTGGGAAGATCATGAACTGAAGTCTTTGGCTCCTCTGGCTTCCATACAAGTACTTTTGGATTTCTCAAGCCATATGGATCTAAGAGAGAGTTTTGATAGAGGGAAGGAGCTCCGTCTTCAGCGGATTATGAATTCCGCAATTGAGATCACAAGTAGGCAGAAGAAGGGTTCTCAAAAGTGGCTATTCTTTGACAAGCAACTGACTCATTTCTACACAACTTTGGGTGAATTGCAATGCAAAAAAGAGCTCTTTCATGGAAATGGAGAGGGTAGTAGCAAAAAATGTGTTACTTTAGGACCAGTTGAAATCATTCCTTGTGAGAATGAAAGATCTGTGCCTGTGGAAGAGGAAGAAGTCATTCTTCTCAAGCCGCTCGTAAGGTGTCAATCTGCTCCAATCTATTCTTCTGGCATTGCAACAAAGCCACTCAGCTCCGATAGCAAAACTTCAGGAAATCAAACAACTACATCCGATGAAAGCCTAAGACGTACCTTATCACTCATTGTGAACCATAGCTCACAGGATACTGAGTCTGAAAGTTTCAGCTTCACGCAAGGTCTTAAGGACGCGGATCCACAACATTTGCATCTAGAAGAGGGCACTGTCTCACGAAAACCTCCATCGCTGAGTGCTTGGGTGGTTGACAAGAACAAAGAGAATGGACGACTCGGTTTAAGTAAACCAAACGGGTTGGGACCTATTGATGAAACAGGTCCTGTCTCATCCTTTGATAGTCTCTCCATCAGTAACAGCGCTGAGCATCATGCGTCTTCATATTCACCTCCAACTCCGTCTGCTCCACTACTGCCTGAAGACGCTTCTTGGTTTCATAATGACGCTGGTACTAACAAAGCAGAGAGCTTCTATGACCACAGAAGAAATATGGAACTCTCTGGTTTCATGAAGCCATACACAAACCTACCAGTTGTTGGGATTTCTTCTTCTGAATGGTTACGTCGGTACAGAGAAAGTCGGAATCTTGGACAAGCTTATTCGTATCAAGCTCAGGGGACAAACGATTTGAGAAACTTTATGGCTCATGGGTCTTCCAAGGTCAGTCTTTCAGCTAGGTACGGGACACCAAACGAACAACCGATGATCTCTTCTGAAAACTCAACGTTCTACCCTCAGCTCTACATGGAAGACCATGAATCTAGAGGAGAGAAGCTCTGCAAGGGTGAACAATGCACAACAAATGCTTATGGTTTCAGTGATGATCCCGGACCGTTTCTTAGATTTTTGAGAGAGAAAGACTGGCTGAATGAGAATGGTCAGAGGTTAAGAGGACCTTCTCCTGCATATATGAACAACTAAAGATGCACGAGTGAGTGAGTTTACAAGAAACTGTCTCAAGTTGGCAAGTTGTGATAATTTGAGTTATTGTCTTGTCTCCTTGTGTTTGTTGCTCAATTTTTCACAATAATGAAAAACCATATAAAGAGAAGGTTTGATTGTTGTACATAAACAAAAAAAGAAAGGAAACTCAAAGGTTCGTATGTTTCTTAGGGAATGATTTGAGTTAGATTAGCCATTATACCACTATAAACAAGAATATGTATGGAACCATCATTTTTTACATGGGACGAACAAACTTTGTCTGGAATAGCTTCTCAGAAGCAGTTACAAATAAACGAAACCAAAATAAGAGGAACTAATGTTGGAGAATTGAGCAAATCAAATCCTGATCATGATGAAGTTTCTTGTTTCAGTTCCCTTGCTGTTTCCCCAAGCCAAAGAAAGAAAACAAAACAAGAAGAGAGAACCAAGAAAAGAGTAAAGAGAAAGCAAATGCTATGTACCACAATAGAAACAAGAAGAGTAAAGAGAGGATCTTCTTGTTGTACCAAATCAAGTCCTCCTATTTGCTTGATATATCTGTTGTTAAATGTTCTATTACACATGTGTCTGCCTCTACCAACGTGTCCATGATCATTTGGTTTTATCACTCGGTGACAAATTCAGCTCCTGCATTTGTGTCTCCACTTGTACTAAGCCAGTCTGAGCAAGAAACCTACAGAAAAAAAAAGGCATTGTAAGCATCTATCTAGTGAAAGCTAATATCCTCTGCAAGATGCATATGTTCTTGAACAAAAAGGGTCACAATAAGCTACCACAAAGATGAGATCTTTTCTAAGGAAACACAAAACTAGAGAACTGAGAACCCTTATCTAATGTCTAATTCAATTTCACAATGACCTAGGTAAATAGAACAACTCAAGGATTGATCAAGATCTAGTACGAATCAACTAATAAGCCTAAAGTTTTGGGCAAAATTTGGGGACATACCAATTGAGGAGGATAAAGAGAGTAGAGGCGATAACAATGAGAAAGCCAACATGAACAAGCAACATTGATTGGCCACTGGTGAAAGCTACAGAGAGCATGAAAGCTAGACAAAGACCCAGTAGTAGAAACGCGATTCTCAGTGTGTTCCATGTTGGACCCTGTCAACAATCACGATCCAAATTAGGGTTTTAAGTAACCAAGCATCCAATTAGAAGAGAAATTAGTACGGACATTGACGCCTGGAGCTAGAGCTCCAAGAAAAACAGCTTCCGTTGACGAAATCTGACATTTCTTCTCCTTCTTCTCCATCTTCCTTCTTCTTCTTCTTCTGCGACGAATCTGGTTTTTTTTTTTTGGTCCGAGGAAAATAGTACTGTATCAATTAAAACCGATTATGTAAACCGGTATATTCCGGTTTCGGTAATTGCAAGTGTTGACTATTATTATCAAAATTTTGATGTCGAAATGTCAATCCCATGTTTATATCGTTGACCATTGACTTTTACGACATACTCACCTAATACGCAAATACAGATCAGAATAAGCTATGCACGTACGTACACATCAAACCTGTTCTGATAACGTGCTAAACCTACATAGAACGATTTTGAAACGAGACGAAATTAAAAAACCTACAAGTAGAAGCAATATAGTGTCATGTTTGATTCCGCTTGAAACTCTTTTATTACTAGTGGATCAATCGATCGAATATGGTGTCACATTTTACTTTCATAAAAAATGTCATGTGAACAAAAAATACTAACAAATGTCTTAAAGACTATCATTTCCTAACCGCAACCACCTAAAAAACTTAATTATACATGAAAACATCTTGGAACGTTTCTCGACGAACTGATTGACGTGATGGATAATGCTAGCCAGTAAATACTTGGATAATTTTAAGAGATTTTTTCTTAGTTATACTTTTCAGAACACAAGGCACGATCTTTGGCTCTGTATATGGATTTGTAGCTCACTTTGCCCAATTATATCCGTTTACCTAATCGTATTTAATAGTTCTAAAGTCTAAATCCTTTTCTTTCTATATGTTAGTTTATTTTATTTTTTTCTTTGATAATTTGTATCTGTTATAATATATCTAATCTTATTATATAAAGTATGGTTTTCAAAGTTAATAATTCATAGGATCGTGACACGTGGCAAATCTATCGATCTTAGATTTTGACACGTATAAAACAAAAATTTATTTTTTAAAATAGAAAAAATAAAATAATTGTAAGTAATTATATATTTAAATAATTTTAAAATTATAAAAGATAATTACAAGGATAATTATAAATAATTAAGATTTCTATAAAAATTTTTTTTAAAAATGTCCAAAGATAATAATAAGGAAATTATATCGTTTTATATTTAAAATATATATTTTAATTAATTAAGAAAAAAATCAGGCAAATTTATTAAAAAGGAAACATACGTTATTATGTAACTAATATGATATATTTTTGTTTCTCAAAGTTAGTAATTAATAGTATCATGAACCGTTATCAGTCAAAATTTTTATCATGTGTCATGATTTAATTTAAAATTTTATATTATTTATCTCAATTTCCTTTCTAATTTTTATCATGTGTGATGAATTAATTAAATTAATCCTCATATTATTTGTTTGAGTTAATTTTTTCAATTAGAAATATGAGAGATCAATTTTTTTTTCCTTTTTGTAATATTTTTTACTTAACTGTGTTTCTTGTTTGTCTTCAATTATGATTGTAGTATTGTGAGATTGTCATGATTTAAATTACAAATTTACATTATTTATATCAATTTATTTTCTAATTAGAAATATGTGAAGACTTTAAGTAAAGTTTTATATTGTTTATTTGAAATTCTTGAATATGTAAGAACCATATATGCTTCTTCTTTGTTTTTGATATTTTGAATTTAATTATACTACTTCAAAATTGTTTTTAGAAATTTCTATGTTCATATTTAAATTATATAAGATGCATATATCATTGTGCTTCTAATTTTTTGAATTTATCATTTTTTATTGATTGATCATAAAGTCACTGAAATCGAGTATATAGGAATCGATCCCGCAACGTTAGCTTGGAAGGCTAAAGGATTTAGTCGATTTATCATCTTTATATTTTTAACGTGTCTAATTCAAACCACTTTGATTTTATTCGCCAATTTTATGATGAATATTTTTAATTTTAGTTCTTCATATAAGTATACCATGAGTTATTGTTATGTAATATTTCTTTCATTCGAAATAATTTTGAATTAATAATTTTAGTGGTTAAAGAAACAATGCAACAGTGAAAAAGTAAATAGTTTTTTTTTTTACTTTTAAAAGAAAAATTTCACTTACAACGTGGTTAATTAATTTTTCGTTAAATTTAATTTGAAATTTTACAAAATTAAACCCGTCTATCTAGTGTTTTATATAAGATGAGATTCATTTTCCCATTTTGTTATAAAAAGTAAAGCTTTAATTAAGTTACGATGCAGTATGTAATGATCTATACAAGAGAAATAATTAGCAAAATGTCAGAAAAAAGAAGAGAGATATATACTCACGTATGTTTTAATATTGTAATTGAATATTTTTTTAGTTTTCATATTTTTAAAGAATACATTACCTTTTTTTACCAAACATCTGTAGATCCATTCATATAGAAATTTTCCATAATGAAAAGTACAATTTTATATTTTAAATAAAACTTTATGTATCCTATTTAATAGTACAATTTTAGTATGCCTGTGTGGTCAATACTAAATGAAAGTACATAATGACAGATCAGAGTTACTTGAAAAAAATAACATCAATATTATTAAGAAAATATCTTTTAATGTCAAAATATAGATAAAGACTAAATTATGTGCAAGGAAATGAAGAACACATTAAAACTATAATGAAACGAATGTATTAAACCGAAGAACTAAACGATAGTAGTACTATAATTTAGAGCGACAGATACGACTAATAATGACATGATTCATAAGTGGCTGCGACGTAGTGATTAATTAAACAAATGTTTTTGTTTCATTTAATTTTAAAATCTTAGTTGTCACAAACTCTATAATGATGCTTACATGAGTGTTTGTACAAATAATAATAGCCTCTTAATTTTCTATACTTCTTAATTATATGTTAAAAGATTCCCCGCCCATCAGTAACAAATCGCCAAGTGTCCTTTGTAATAGTACAAGATGAGCTAAATTTAATTACACAGAAAAACAGAGAACAACATTTTATTTTTATAATAATCAAATGTATAATGTGCTTAAATTTCTAAATTTGTAAACTAATAGCCACTAATCAGATTTGACCCCATTTTTTTATACACATACCCACAATCCTTCTTTTTTTTTTTTTATCTTAATTTTTGTTTACAGACAATGTTTTTAATTAAGGTTTATTACATACATTAACAACCCATTAATGAATGAAGATATAAAGAAATAGACACTGACAAAAAAAAAAAAAAAAAAAAAAAAAAAAAAAGACAAATTGGATAGAAGATTTATCAAATTGCATTTTTTTAATTTTTAATAGAGAGTATTTATTCATCGTCCAATTTTGACAGTATTTTTGTTTGTTAGAGAGGCGAGAGAGTGACTTTTTTGTTGCCCATTGTTGTTAATGGCATTTGTGTGAGAGATTCATTGATTTTTGAAAATTCTGAGGAATAAAAACCCTATCTACCAATCACAAACCCTAGATTTTGATTCTTCTTCATCTGAATTTCTCTTGATCTGTGTCTCCTTCCTTGTGATTTCTCCCATTTCATTCATTGATTCTTTTTGATTCGATTCAATTCGAGCTCAATTTCGCAGATCAGAACCCAGAATCGAATTCGGGGTCACTTGAACAATATCGTTTGGTGGTAAGCTTAAACTTGTTGATCTGAATTCGAGTGAAGAAGACATCGAATTCGAGTTTGGTGGAGATTCTGATGGAGTGATGATTTAAAGGAGGAAGATAAAAGGGAACGATGACTGGATTGGGTGTTCGATCCAGTAGCTATGGTTCCTTGGAGAAGACGGGACTTAACGGCGTCGTTTTGCCTATTCAGATCACTACCACGACGACGACGACGACGCGCACCAAACCATCTAAGATGCAGAAAGATAGAGAAGGTATTGTACATTGGATCTGCAAATTCGCTGGTCGTAAGAAGGTTGGCATGTTGCTTCTCTTCTTAATCTCCGCCGTCGTCTTCCTTCGCGTCCTTTACGTCGGAAAAGGTAATCAATTTTCGACGATTTTCGGTACTCAAATGTTATAGTATTTGTGTAGCTTGTGAATTTAGTTTCTAAGTTGGGATAAGTATTGATTCAGCTGAACAATTTTAGTATGCTTGTGTGTTTTGGCTTAGAATTGATGACTTTTGTGGCCAAATGTTGTGTATAGTAGTGGTGATCGTAATGCTAAGATTTTGTAATGCAATTCATAACTTAGAGCTAGAATGTACCTGGTTAGATTTTGGTTTTAAGATATGAACAATCAGACTTGAAATGGTTGTGACTGTTCTTTTGGTTTTTGTAATTAGGTGAAGATGGTCAAGGTCCTCCGAGTCTTCATTTCAATGGCACTTCAGGCGTAAATTATTCAAATATGTTACAAACAAATGAAGAGCAAAACATGAATATTGGAAATATATCGTTTAAGGCAAAAGAAGTTATTGTGTTCCCTCCTCCTCCTCCTATGCATTTTCTTGGCTATTCGCTTCCTCAAGGTCATCCTTGTAACAGTTTCACCTTACCTCCCCCACCAGCTGACAGAAAAAGAACAGGACCACGCCGTAAGTTATTTAGTCGTGTTCTCTTTCCAATTTTCTTTTTCTTTTCTGAGATCACTACAAGATTGTTGTTGTGATGGTTAAAAAAGATCTGAGATGTACTGTTGTAGAGACGTTTTGTAAGAGTATTGGTTTGTCTTCTTGGTTTTGATTTCAGCATGCCCCGTATGTTACCTTCCAGTAGAAGAAGCAGTTGCATTGATGCCAAATGCCCCGTCATTTTCCCCTGTTCTTAAGAACTTAACGTATATATGTGAAGAACCGTTAAACAGAGAGACAGAGTTTGGAGGGTCAGATTTTGGTGGTTATCCTACATTGAAAGATAGGAATGATTCTTTTGACATTAAAGAAACAATGAGTGTACATTGTGGGTAAGTATCTTTGTGGTCTTGTTTATTTCCCTTGTCTTCTTTGTTTGTCTCATCTTTTTTGAATTTTTATTTATGATTGTTCAATCAGGTTTGTCAAAGGACCTCAACCTGGTCGAAATACAGGATTTGACATTGATGAGGCAGATCTTCTTGAAATGAAGCAGTGTCGTGGGATAGTTGTTGCTTCAGCAGTATTTGGTAGTGTTTTGCATGATCCTTTTCTGTTCTGTAGTCAATTGTTCCAGGCCCATTTTTGCGTGTTTCTAATATTAGAATCTCTCTATTATTTTTCCAGATGCTTTTGATGATGTAAAAGCCCCACAAAATATCAGTAAATATGCGGAGGAAACAGTTTGCTTCTACATTTTTGTTGATGAAGAAACTGAATCAATTTTGAAGAGAGAACGAGGCCTTGATGGCAACAAAAAAGTAGGGATATGGAGAGTTGTTGTTGTTCATAATCTCCCCTATTCTGATGGAAGGCGCAATGGAAAGGTAGATACACCTCTCTTATCTTTCGAATAAGAAATTTTATGGAAGATATTATGCATTAAGTTAGTCCAAACTGAAACATGAACTTAATGACATGCTAGATATTTCCCCTTATTATTAGTCTTTCTCCAAAAGTACTGTAGTACTACCCACACTACTGTACCAACATCCTTTTGCTTTAGATCAGGCTCGAAGTTGTTACTACTAATTGGAGAGCAAAAAGCTCTTCTTAGAAACCCAAGAAATTCAGATTTGAATTTAGAACATAGATCTCACTGGACATGGCTGATTCCAAAATGGTCAGAGTAAAGAGAGAGAATATAAATGTTATTGATATGCCGATGCCTTGTTCTCTTGTAGGTGCCCAAGCTTCTTGTCCATAGGATGTTTCCAAATGCTCGCTATTCTTTATGGATTGACGGAAAACTTGAGCTTGTCGTCGATCCATATCAAATTCTTGAAAGGTGAGGCCTATCATATTTTTTCTCGTATGAGATCAATCCCAGGAAATCTCTAGTGATATGCTGTATGTAGTGTTCCCAAACACCAAACATTCCTCTAATCATATTAGGAAGCTGCTAGTTCCACCCCTTTTTCTTCTTAGATGAATTTCTTAATCAGCTTGCTATCTGTTCTTAACATTCAAGTATGTTAAAAATATTCAATTGCTTCAAATAAGTTTGCAGTTTGAGTTTAGAAGGCCTTAGGCTTGGTGATTATGTTTCTGGGCTGCAGCAATTTAACTGACATCTCTTCTCATCAGGTTCTTGTGGAGGAAAAATGCTACTTTTGCAATTTCTAGACATTACAAACGATTTGATGTCTTGGTAGAAGCCGAAGCAAATAAAGCTGCTGGTAAATATGATAATGCTTCTATCGACTTTCAAGTGGATTTTTACAAGAATGAAGGGTTAACCCCTTATTCTGTCGCAAAGCTCCCAATCACAAGCGGTATGTTTCTTTAGCTTATTCTTTCTAAAATTCCCTTTTCAGGATCAAACACTAGTTACATAGACAACTATATGTTTGGGCTATGCAGACGTACCCGAGGGCTGTGTCATTTTAAGAGAGCATGTTCCCATAAGCAACCTCTTCACTTGTCTTTGGTTCAACGAAGTTGACCGATTCACTTCAAGAGATCAAATCAGTTTCTCAACTGTAAGAGATAAAATTGCAGCAAAAACAAACTGGACAGTAAGCATGTTCCTTGATTGTGAAAGACGCAATTTTGTAGTTCAGGTGATTTCTTCGTCTCCTGCTGACTTAGCCTAAAAGTAAAGGTTTTAAAAAGATCCTGACTTTATCATAACCTGTTTTATCGAACTCTCAAATGCAGAGATATCACCGAGCAGAACAAGAAAGATTTGCAAGGCAACGAGCTCTGGTGCCTAATTTTCCTCCACCGCCTCCACCAGTTTTAATCAGCAGCGATTTGCCTAGAAAAATGTCAAGTGGAAGAGCGGTTAGCACAACGCCGCCTAGAAGACGAGGAAGAGACAGACGCTCTGGTCAAAGGGGTCACAGGAAAGCTAATTTGCCTGTAAGATTACCAGATTCAGCATAAAGAGTTGGTTCTTCTACTTCTTCATGGTCACCCTCATCACCAACCTCACATTCCAATTTTACCACACAGTATGTCTCTTTTTTGTTTCTCTATTTGATTCTAAGGATTCAAAATCAATTTTTTAATGTATATATACACACGAACATTTTGTACTTGGATAATAAATTATAGTTTCGAATTTTGAAGTTCAAAATCTACCAAAGAGATCCGAGCTTGGTTTTGATTGTAATCCAAGTCTTCTGACAAATTATCGATTTTTTTTTGTTTTTTTGGGTCACAAAATGTAAAAGAATTTATATTGGATATTTGTACTTTAATACCTCAGTGTTCAATTTACTTCTTTAAAGAAATTAAATATTCAAAAATTGTGGTCATGTGGCTCATGTGCGTATGCTGCACCAATTATGTATGTGTTCTAGTAGACGATCTTAAATTTATGGTATTTGCTTGATTGCATTATGCATATGTCTACCACTATGTCAATTCATTAGAATTAAATTGAATGTATCTTTCTGGGCCATGATTATAAGTTCTATCATAAAGAGAAATCGACCTGTTGGTAACCAATAACGACCATTAGTTTTGGTTTTTTTTTGGTAATATTTAATAAATAATATAAATTCTCTTTTGTTATTTACTTTGTTCAAAAAATATCTAAGCGCTAGTCGAGCGGTGAAAATGCGCCTAGCGCCTAACAAAAAAATCGGAGATTACACGGGGATCAATCGGATATTAGTTTTAGGGCTATTTAATGTTTTAAAAACATATTAATCTATTATAATTAAGAAATTTATATAATATTATTTTTAAAATTGCATTAAACACATGAAAAAAAGATTTTAATCTCAAATTTATGATTTTTATACAAATTACGAATATAAGTAAGACGTTTTGAATTTTAGATTAAAAAAAAACAAAAGAGGCTAGACGCCGTGTAGGCGTGCTAGTCGGCCGCCTAGGCGGTTTAGACGGACAAAAAATCAGACCAGCGATTTTTCTTACCGATTTAGATAAAAGCACCGCGGTTCTCCTCCGATCAGCGTCTAGACGGCCGATTTCTAGAATAGAGGTATATATTATTGATACTTATTTACGTACCAATGTGTCTCACAGAACATCGGGTCAAAATTAATGTCGTCAGTGTTTTCAAGTCTGGAATAAAGTGAGCTTGGAATTCACATCAATTTGGAGAAGAAACATGTTATCCCATAAGTCACTTTTATCTTGGCTTATTATGAGCTAACACCACCATTTTGACTTGGTCTTAAAGCTATAAAATAATATAATACTTCAATCACTAAAAAGTAGAAACAAAACAACAAATATTTTAAGATAAACCGTAACAAAGTTTGTCACCAAGAGTTGTAGAAAGTAAAAGGATGATCTAGAACCACTACACTAAAGTCGCAAAAGAAAATAGATATCTAGCAAAAAAAATTAATCTGGTCTCAACAAAATACTTCTATTTCAGACCAAGAATTTCTTACATACAACGATCCAACTAAAATGTGTTCCCTCTGATACTCTCTACTTGGTGAATGATGACGAGGCCCAGATCACTCCGTTAATAAAAAAATCTATCATTTAAAACCAAAACGAATATAATTAATGAGAAAAAGTCCAAAAATCTTCAACTGTGCAAAAGTATTGAAAAATAAAATCCTCAACTTTGATTTTAGTGAAATATATAATCAATTCATTTGATTTTTCAATTAAATTGTAAATTTTTGTTTACTTATTATTTTATTCGTAAAATTGATTTTACCAAAATAGTCACGTCATTAAGTTTGACTGATAATTAACGATGTTGGGTTCCTATTGAAAATATATACTTAATAAAAGTTATTAACCCCTAAAACAAGATTTTAACGAAGACTTAACTCTGTTAAATGTATTGGACTATAAAACATAAATTGAATCACTTATTTCAAGCCAAAGACTACTAGAATTCAACAATGGAGCTAAGAAACAACTAGTTGCGAAAAGTCATAATCAAGTAGCTTAAGTCAGCATTCCATGTATTTAAGTATGGCAAATTGATTGACTAAATATTTTACAAAAGAAGACAAATGGATGCCAAAAATAAATTTCTAATCAAGTTTACTTTTCTACAACACTATCATCATCTAAAGATCAAACCAAGTATAACGATATTTCACTTAAATCTGCACGTCGGTCTTTTCTTGTAGAAATTTTGTTTTCTTGCTTTTCATACACATGACACAACAACCATCTCTTTCAACAACAAACAAAATTTAACGTAACACATTTATTTATTTTTTGTTAAAGAATTTAACGTAATTATGTATTAAGTAATTTAACGTAACACATAAGAGTGAAGAATTGTTTTTTTTTCCTATTTCAACAATTCAACTCTTTGTTTTGTCATACTTAATGTGTATAGAGCAGAAAATAGCACGTCTCTTTTTTTTATCATGATAAAGTAAAGGACCATTCTTAGTTGGAAATTAAAAGTTAAAACCCTAGTATGGGCTTGACTGGTTTAATCGCAGCGGTTGCGGTTGCGGTTGTGGGAGTTTGCGGAAGCGGACGGTTGCGGTTTCAAGCGTTTTTTAGCGTTTTGACCGACTGGTTTAGCGGTTGAAAACGGATGCGTTTGCGGAAGATTTACGACTGGTTGATCAGCGGGTACGATAGCAGTTAAACCAAAATTTACCAAATAAATTTAATATATGATTATAAAAAATTATAAAACACCAGAAACTATAGTTATGAAAAGTATAAATTTTTTAAAAATGATTAATGATTAAAAACCATATAAATTTTTATATTGAAAACAAAAATAATTATTTATATTAGAAAATTAAAGTTAAATAATAATTATTTTTTTAGAATTAACGTGAATATAAATCAGACATGATGATATATATTTTAATTTATTTATTTTCCTTTTTTAGTTTATTTCCTTTTTTACACCAACCGCAACCGCCCGCAACCGCAAACGCTTGCGGGAAGGAGCTTTTGAAATCCAGCGATTTCGAGCGGTTCGAAGCGGTGTGGAGCGGTTTCTATGATTGGTACCAACCGCTAGCAACCGCAACCGACCGCTAACAACCGCTAGGCGGGTGCTAGCGGGAGAACCAATCAAGCCCTATAGCGTTTTTCAATCGCAAACGCGCCCGCTATGTTATGTCCTACCGTTTTAATTTCCCCAACTTCCTTGATAATGTATCACACGATCCAAAACCACAAACAAACAAAACACACCAAAAAAAACATATAATTGCTCATTGACCCTCTTGAGTTGATGAGAAATATCATCAAAAAGGCCAAAACAGAGGACAACAAAAACAGGAAGCTAGCAAGAAGAAGAAGATGAAGAATGGTCTGATAATCATAAACTGTATAATCCTCACTATAGGAACATGTGGAGGTCCTTTGTTAACTCGTCTCTACTTCACCAATGGCGGAAAACGAATCTGGTTCATGAGCTTCCTACAAACCGCTGGTTGTCCAATCATCCTCCTTCCTCTCGTGGCCTCCTTTCTGAGACGTCGGCGCAGCAACCGCAACAGCAACAACGCAGAAAACACGCCGAAAACAAAGATTTTCCTCATGGAAACTCCTCTGTTCATCGCCTCCATCGTCATAGGGTTGCTCACAGGACTTGACAACTACTTATACTCTTACGGATTAGCGTATCTGCCAGTTTCAACTTCATCACTCATAATAGGAACTCAACTAGCTTTCAATGCTCTCTTCGCTTTCTTGTTGGTCAAGCAAAAGTTCACTCCATTCTCCATAAACGCCGTCGTTTTGTTGACGGTTGGTACCGGGATCCTTGCTTTACACAGCGATGGAGACAAGCCGGCTAACGAGAGCCATAAACAGTATGTGATTGGGTTCTTGATGACTGTGGTTGCAGCTGTTCTCTACGCTTTTATATTGCCGCTCGTTGAGCTCACTTACAAGAAAGCTCGACAAGAAATCACTTTCCCACTTGTGTTCGAGATTCAGATGGTCATGTGCGTTGCTGCTACTTTGTTCTGTCTCGTTGGGATGTTCATCGTTGGAGATTTCAAGGTAAAAGAATTCGATTTTTAATGGTATGTTTTTAGCATAAGGGTATCTTTGGAGGGATCTTGATCAAAAAAATATTATGCAGATTTTGATGAAGACTTTAATAGCCGAGTTTTTGGATTCCGTATTTTAATTTTTTTCCTAAATTATATAGTTTTTGTTTCATTTTATGATATATAGTATAGTTTAGTACGGATTCCCAAGAAATGAGGAATACTAAGATTTGTTCTTTTGTTTTATTAATTGAGAAAATCCATTGAAAACAATTAAATATATAAAGAGTATTTCAAATTCATTGGTAGTCAACCAAATTTATTGGGATCTGTATTTTAACATTTTCTAAACCATTTGGATATTTTAAAATAGTTAAACATAGATTTCCAAACATAGATTTGTCATCCTTATCTTTAATTAGAAACATTATTTAAATATTGTTCAAACCTTTTTATCTTGTGTTTCAATAAATTAGGTGGTTTAACAACTTGTATTTTCAATCATGGTTGAATAACACAAAATTCTGATTTGGATTTCCAATCAATCAAATCAAGCCCCTAAACTTTTTCATTTCTAGTGTTAAAAAAATAATAATCGAATAAAACAAAGAAAATTATGATTAAACTTCAGAATCAACTTTAAATCATCATCATATTATGTTGTAGGTGATAGCAAGAGAAGCAAGAGAGTTCAAGATTGGAGGATCAGTGTTTTACTATGCATTGATAGTGATCACAGGAATAGTATGGCAAGGTTTCTTCTTAGGAGCCATAGGGATTGTGTTTTGTGCATCATCACTAGCTTCTGGTGTTCTCATCAGTGTTCTGCTTCCGGTGACTGAAGTTTTGGCCGTCGTTTGTTTCCGGGAGAAGTTTCAGGCAGAGAAAGGTGTCTCTCTACTTCTATCTCTCTGGGGCTTCGTCTCTTACTTCTACGGCGAGATTAAATCCGGCAAGAAAGTTCTTGATAAACCTCAGCCGCCGGAGACAGAACTGCCTATTCTTCCAGTTAGTGATTCTGTTGCTTAGAAGGTCTATAACAGAGCAATACTGTTATGTTTTGTTTTTAACATTATGTATGATTGTTCTGTGTTTTGTTATTGTTCTTGTGTAGATGAATAAATTTTAAAGATATTTTATAAATGAAAATTTTAATACACTTGGAGTAAAAATAGAATGATAGTGATGACAACAAAAAGATGGGATATTTGATAAAATCATAACATATTGTCAATTATATATTAAAAAAAAAACATTTCACACTTATAAGATTAATGAGTTTTGTATCTATTTTTACTATTGGCCAGGAAATAAAATTTGTATATAGACCAAAGAACTAATAGAAAGAAGGAACAAAAAAAAAAAAAAAAAAAAAAAGAGATAAGTCAAAGAACCAATTAACTCTCCTTTAAGTCTTCCAATTATAGAGAGAATGATGAACTGAAAATTCTTAAATGTAATTGGTCTAAATTTAGAAAGAAATAAATCCAAGAATCAAAACTGTAGAATTGGATGGAAACGTAAATTAATATTAGAGATATGGATATTATCTGGTCTGTATAAGATAGTTACTACGATTTAATACGAAATTAACTGTTAGCATAATTTGTGGGTATAAAATTGGAAAAACCATGTTTTAGCCATTGAAGCCTCCCTAGGTCAAAACAAACACAAAGATCTATCAAGACAGAATTTAAAACCACCATTTTGTTCCAAAAGACAGCAACACCAACCCTTATAACTACTAACTCCTGCGAGCACCAACCCCTAAAGTTTCATTACCCACAAGAAATCAAACAAGAATGGTGAAGGTTCTTGTGATCATAAACTGCATAATTCTAGCCATAGGAAACTGTGGAGGTCCTTTGATTATGCGTCTCTACTTCAACAATGGTGGTAAAAGGATTTGGTTCTCTACTTTTCTTGAAACTGCTGGCTTTCCAGTTATCTTCATCCCATTGCTCTTCTCTTACATTGCCCGGCGCAGAAGCAACAATGTGGGTGATGATACAAGTTTCTTTCTTATCAAACCGCGTCTTCTTATCGTGGCTGTTTTCATAGGCATTCTTTCAGGCTTTGATAACTACTTGTATGCATATGGTATAGCTTATCTCCCAGTTTCAACAGCTGCTCTCATCATTGCTTCACAGTTAGCTTTCATAGCTATCTTCTCATTCTTCATGGTTAAACATAAGTTCACTCCTTTTACCATTAATGCTGTTGTGTTGTTGACCGTTGGAGCTGCGGTTTTGGGAATGCATACCGAAACTGATAAGCCGGTTCATGAGACTCATAAGCAGTACATTATTGGGTTCTTGATGACTGTAGCTGCAGCTGTTATGTATGCTTTTATCTTGCCATTAGTGGAACTTGCTTATCAGAAAGCTAGGCAACCCATGAGCTATACTCTCGTGCTCGAGTTCCAGTTGATTTTGTGTTTCCTTGCTTCTATTGTCAGCGTCATCGGTATGTTCATAGCTGGTGATTTCAAGGTTAGTCACTCTTTTGAATCTTACAAACCTGCAAAAGAGTTTTAACAGAGACTTGAACCCTTCACTCTTTTTTTGCAGGCCTTACCAAAAGAAGCAAGAGAGTTCAAGCTTGGAGAGGCACTGTTCTATGTGGTGGCTGTGTTTTCAGCCATCATATGGCAAGGCTTCTTCTTGGGAGCCATTGGATTAATCTTTTGCACATCGTCTCTCGTCTCGGGAATTATGATATCAGTGCTTTTGCCAATCACAGAGGTTTTAGCTGTTATATTCTACCATGAAAAGTTTCAAGCAGAGAAGGGACTTTCTCTAGCTCTCTCCCTTTGGGGTTTTGTCTCTTACTTTTATGGTGAGATAAAGTCTGGCAAGGATAAAAAGAGAATTCAGCAGGAGGAGAGTCCGGAGACAGAACAATCTTCTTTGTCAAGTGAGTGTTAAAACTAAACGAAGCATAGTTTTTTGTTTAAAGACACTCACTTCAGCAATGTAGATTAGAAGATGTTTAAGAAACTTGTGGAACTATGCCAAAAACGCAACTCTCATGGAGTTTTTTTCTTTTTCTTTATTTCAGCTTAACTTGTTTGATGTCTCTTATTATTCACATCAAATGAGTTTGTAATAGAATATGAGGTCAAATCATGACCCTTTCTCTTATGCTGTTGAACTGTTTGTTCTACCAGCAATAAATGAAATTAGTCTTGTGTTATCTTCTGCTGAATGCTTTTATCTTTCATCTCTCGTGGTGGCTTCATCCCATTAACTTGTTCAACAACAGCGCCAGCAGCACCATTAACGAGAAATCGCGTATGATCTGAGGACCCTTTATATTCCACCTGTAAGTTTAACCAGTAGAGAGCTTCTGGTAAATCCTGTTTGGTTCATTTTCATGATTCTTCATTACTATAAGGAACAATCACTAGTGAGAGGAAATAACATTCATTTGAATCAAAATGTAAAGAAAAAGCCCTTACACTGTTTCCCCTAGAGCTTCTAGTTATTTGAAACTGGAATGCATCAAAAACACAATAGGTCTACACTATAATTCTACATCCTTATGAGAGAACCTATCTGTCTCATTTTTCAACTATGTATGTTCTCTACATATCCGCTTTTTCTAACTCTTATTTCTAGGCAGGCCTAGAAAATCCACCAGTAACGTATATGCATCATCACTAATTCTTCTATTGTAATCAACTACATTCCTCTGACGTGAATTATACCAGATATCCATTTAGGTCTAACAATCAGATACTACCCACATTATGCTGTTATAAATACAATAGTGAAAACTAATTTTACTTACCAACTTCCTTCAGCAGAGCCACTCAATTCATTGTTGATTTCTTCTTTTGCAAACTCTTCCAATATAGCACGCTGACGTTCATTCACTTCACTAGAGAAGACAAGGAAAAATGTACACCGCATAAGCATATACCAGAAATCTATCAACATTAGCTCTTGACAGAAATGACAAGAAGAGAACCCAACTCATCTACCCGCCACCAGAACATCAACAAGCTGATCATATCAACATGAACTTATATAATCAGATTTAATAATCGGACACAAAATAACAGACGGCAGGGAAACCAAAACAAACTACCAGGGAAATTAATTAAAAAACCTCAACTTATAGAGAAACTAAGTGTCGTGTCATTCCAAACACCAGTAGAGTTTCTAGCATTCCAAACACCTCCGAGTAAAAGAAATCTTACGTAGGAAAGTTAATGCGGAAGCGGACATACTGATCTCCGTGATCTACAAAAAAGCCTTGCTTCGGTAGTCCTGCAGGAACTAACCTATTATAAAGAGTACACACAAATACACAAATTTTTTTACATATAGGCTGATAATTATATGTACCTTTGCCTCTTAAAACAAGAAGTTGACCAGGCTGAGTCCCCTCTGGTATCTGCAACAATTACAATAAGGCACCTCTATTATCTCCAAAGGCTTGAGATCTAAACCTTTCTCTTGGTCAGAGGATGAAAACCAACTTGACTCAGTTGAAAATGGAAAATGCCAAATTGTAAACAAACAAAATATTCTAATAATCTCACTGGGAGACGAATCTTACATCTAGCTGTATCTTGCCTGAAAGTGTTGGCACCACAACTTTGCCTCCCAAAATCGCCTGTCAAATAAGTTTTCTAAGACATGTCCAGTATGGCTCAAGGGAGAAATAGTAGAAACCACGTCAACCATAAGAGATGAAAGGATGCACTATAAAAGATAATTACTGCAGCCGAGGTACTATGGCTAGGTGGCAAAATAATGCAGCAGCATGCACTTGAGTTTTATATCTGGGTGCCATCAAATTTAGTTGGAACCGATATGGCGATATGCCACATTATCTAGTTAAGAGGACAAGCGCATCATATACATAATGATAAAGATGCTACTAGCTAATATTATTAAACCTAGTAGTTTAGTAAACTTCTGGCACATAAACTAGTTGAATAAGACCAAAATCATTAATTTTCAGCTAGCCTCCAGATAACTTTTATCTAGTATATGTCCTCTAGAGGTTTTATTTTATCATAGGACATGCCCAAATTATGTTACTGCAGAGCTTTATAAGCTAGCAGTTAAGGCTTTTGAGTTTTGACCACAACGTGTCACCATGCAGAAAACATAAGTTTCGAAGGTACTGCTCTGCTTATAACCCCAAATTCAGGAATCACCAGTGTGCTTACTTGTGTAAAGCTAATATTAGCATCCACGTATATATCTGAGCCATCCCTAGTGAAAGTTGAATCATTAGCAACCTGTGAGCAGAAGAAGATTAGATACATGTCATTAAGGGAAAATGCAGCATGCAGTAAGACCCTAAATGAGGCAAGAATGATGATAGAATTAAAGATACTTAATAATCTTACAAGAGAGCATAAACAATTGATTCACTGAATAGAGTAAGTCTTGATTAATATAGTGACACAACAAACACAGTAGAGTAGCCATCACATATAAATCTGTGAACATTGGTGTAGATCATTTTTGAAGTGAATTCATTCAAAGTCAATATATGACTTATAGCATGACTTTGACACTTATATTAACTGTTCTCTCTCTTAGGCTAAATTGATCAATGGACTTGTATGGTAGATCAATCATCAATGTCAAGGGTGAGTTCGATTCAAACTTCTCTAGGCACGTCTCAGAAAGTATACCAGTACAAATTTGAAGAAAATACAGATGGTTTTAACAAACCTTTAGTTTGATATACAAGTTCCCAGGTTGACTTGTTCTTGATCTTACATTACCAGCACCTCCGATTGTGATCGTAGCTTCAGACTCCACCCCTGTGGTCAAGTACAGTGAGAAGAAAGCAAATAAAAGTTTGACAGAATATTGTTATCAAAAACCTAAATCACTATCTGGTCCAGTAAACTCATGTAAGATGATAATCGGAAATCACAGTCCCAAATTCTTTGTTTCATCTTTGCCCCAAAATACCAAGAGCAGAATTAACCAGAAAATGAAAATTGCCAAGCATAATCTTAAAAAAGAAAAAGAAAAGCCAGTCGAACGATAAGTGTAACAGATATCTAAATTAGATTACATCTAAACCACACAAATCCTCAAAGAAAGGAACGTAACAGAATGAATGAAATCTTGCCACTCGTTTCATAGCAGAACTGACATGTTTGGAATCAAAACCAAGTTAAAGATAAACAAAAGCATGAAGATTTCAGACCAACCTCCAGGGATCGCAAGTTCAACTGTCTTTGTGGCTTCCACAATACCGGATCCTCTACAAGACATGCAGTATTCCTGAAGAAATAGACAACATATATACTCGTAACCAGTGCCAACTACTGAAGCATCAATAAAAGAGCTCTTTTTCTCAAACCTTAATAATGTGCCCCGTCCCCTTGCACGTCTGGCATGATGCTGTAAAAGGAGGAATAGTTACCTGTTAAAGAGACAGACGGCATAGTACTGTAAATAGAAATTGTATAATTTATTAACCCTCCAAAGAAAACAAAGATTATATCCTCTAGTTGGCACTTACTCGTCCAAGCCCCCTGCATGTTGGACAAACGCTCATGGCAGCATCACGAGGGTGGCCAAGCCCATCTGTAAAATGATAAATAATGAGAGATTGGGATTCATGGTTTTGCAACAATATTACTTTCACCCAACTGAGTTACTCGTCCTCTCAAAGTTGGCTGAATCAGCAACTTTTCAAAGACAAAAGGCTGTAAATGTTACAAGAAATCAAAAAAAAAAAAAGAAGAGAGACAACAAACTGTAGATTACATGTACATTAACATCGATTGATCACAGAGCCATTTCCAGAAGACTATTCTTCTTTAAGAATTTTATTTTACCATTTTGAGCAACTGAATAATAATGTACCATGACGAGTAACTCCTCATTTAAAGTGTCTATACTCTCAATTATCTTTACAGGAAATCTTGCGAACCATGACTGGCTTGTCAATATTAGTAAATGCAAAAGAGACAATATAAGAAAATTCTGTGGCCACTCACCACAGGAATCACAAAAGACATATGCATCAAAAGACAAACGTTTTGTGCACCCTTCTGCAGCTTCGGAAAAAGAAAGCGACAGTTCCACCTATTCAATTTTTAACAATATAAACATGTGTATTACTGAAGAGCCCTACACAACAAGATTTACATAAGTCAACCAGCTTCCAATTGTATAAATTAAAGAGAGAATCAGAGAAACTGACCCGAATATCAGATTTTATCTGATTGTTCTCGAATATCTGAATAAAGTGTACTAATGTTAGAGATTTGACTAATCAAATAAACAGATGAGCAAACGGGAAACATAATAATGTACCTCAGAAAAAATCTTGTGGAAAGAATCCGAGAAATTGGACTGGTATGCACGTCTGAACCTCTCTCCATCACCACCGTCATTATTTACATAATCCGAATTCTGATAGCGTAGCTGGATTGTTTGATAACAGCAAAAAATCTATTTAGTGATCTCACCACCAGATAAATAAGAATAAAAACAACAAAAGCGTACCTTATCATATTCTTCTCTTCTTTCCGAATTTCCCAGGGTCTGCAGTTATTCAATCCAACACAAAAGTGTATCAGAAGATACATTCAAAATACACAGATGGTGACAGATGGAAAAAAAATTACCTCATAAGCCTCTCTTATTTCCTGGAATTTCCTTTTTGCTGACGGATTATTTCTATTTGTATCAGGGTGGAATTTTTTCGCAAGCTGCACAATTGTGCATTCACTCATCAATTTTGAGCAGACAATTTTTACTAATAGTATTTGCTTGATGTAAAAAAATGTTAAAAGCTGAAGAATAGTCCACTAACAATGAGCGGAAAGGCTCACCTCATGGAATGACTTTTTAATCTCCTCCCGCGTAGCTTTTGGAGAAACACCAAGAACATCATAGTAATTACGAGCACTGGAGCTGTATATTCCTGATAACCATTATC